TCAGATAAAGTAAATTTCAAACCAAAACTCATTAAGAGAGACAAAGAAGGACACTACATCCTTGTAAAGGGAACAATTCAAGAGGAAGAGCTGACAATCATAAACATATATGCACCAAATACAAATGCCCCCAACTATATAAAACAAATATTAAGTAACATGAAAAACCAAATAAGCACTAATACAATTGTAGTGGGGGATTTAAATACCCCACTATCACAAATTGACAGATCTACTAGGCAGAAAATCAACAATGAAATAATAGAACTGAACCAAGCTTTGGAACACATGGATTTAATAGATGTTTATAGAGTATTGCACCCCCAAAAATGAGAATATACATTCTTTTCGGCTGCACATGGATCATTCTCCAAAATAGACCACATACTGGTTCACAGAACAGGTCTAAATAAATGCAAAAAAAATTAAAGTCATCCCTGTATATTATTAGATCATAGTGCAATCAAAGTAGACATCAATAGCACAAGAAACTATAGAAACTTCACAAGCACATGGAAACTGACCAACACTCTCCTAAACAATCAATGGATTACAGAGGAAATTAAAGAAGAAATTAGACAGTTTTTACAAATAAATGAGAATGCCAATACAACATACAGGAATAAGAACTTGCCTGTTACAGTACAGCACTGATCACTTCTTAGTCTTTTGGCTAAGATCAAGTGTATAGTACAGCACTGATAAATAAAATCGAACATATAGTAAGGGTTATAATTTGAGGTATCTTCTACCTATAATAATTTTGGCCTCACTTCTTTCTCTCTGTTCTAACCTAGAGGACAAGTACAAGAGTATATAATGTTAGAGATGGTTGAATCCAAAATTCATTTACAGAGGACAAGCTTTTCTGTATTTTAACATAAACTGTAAAAAATATGCTAACTTTGCTACTTTGTCATATACTGGCAACCTCTAATATTTAGGGACTAGATGTTAAAATTTTGGACTTATTTGTCTGTTATATGCAGTATATACACAACAGAACAAAACCCACAAAATATACAGAAAAATTATGTCTCAAAATATCCAAGTACAAATGCACTAACATAATACCTTTGTAATTGCTTCCCTACCTCCTCCAAAGCATTTAACAAGTACAAACAGTACCATATTGCTCAAGAGTGGTTAACCATTCCACTTCCATTGGCATTTCATATGAACTTTATGTTACCATTTTTTTAAAAAAACTGGGAATTGAACTCAGGACCTTGCGCTTCTGAGGCAGGAGGCAGAACCACTGAGCTAAATCCCCGGCCCTCATATGAACTTTAGCAAAAAAGATATTTACAAAGGGATATTTTACTACCTATACATTTAACATACATTTGGCACTTCTAAGCATCTAGTTAACACTAGATGTTTCAAGTAAGGGCTCAATTTGTCTGTCATATATACAGAGCAGTCTTGATTAAACCACACAATAGTTGAAAATGTCTTGAAAAAAATGAGCATTTTAATCTAGAACTCTTCCTTTCTCCACTAGCCCCATGGGCTAAAATGCTGAAATTTTCAGAAAAAAAGCTTTTCTGGAATTTTAATACAAAAGTTTTTAGATTACCAACTCTACCTTTATCAAAACTGGCAACCTCTTTAGCATCTAGGAAGACTAGATGTTATAACAGGTCTCATTTACCCTTTACATACCCTACATACACAGCAAAGTAAAAATGATAGACATAAGGGTCAGTGGTAACTTGCCTCACTAGCACAGTACTCTGTACTTCCTTCTCTTCTGAGAACCAGTGCATAAACAATGTGTACTACTCAGGAGGGACTTGCCTATTCCCCCAACAAAATAACACTTCATGTGAGTTCTAACAAAAAAGAAATTTACAAAATGTGTTATTTTACTACTTCTACTTTTTAACATGAGAATTATCTCAAAAGACCAGATGGTTCAATAAAGTACTTAGCATGTAAAATAAATAAATACAAACACACACACACACACACACACACACACACACACAGTAATGAGGACTAAAATGAACACATAAAACAATGGCTACGATACAAACAATGTCTTCTACATGTAACCAGTCTGGCACTGGGCATTCTTCTCTTCTGTCTCATGCTCCCTGTCCCCTAACCTACAGAATAAATGCAACCACAGTAATGACTTTTTAAAGGGCAAGTTTTTCTTATAGATTGTATCTTTTTAATTCTTATTTTTGTTTAATTGTGGGTGCTCATTTTCTTCAGCTTCCATTTGTGATAATTCTCTGAAGACTGTAATATTGGCAGGTTTCTTCAGAAAGAAAATAAATTTACTATTTTCAGATATTTTGTGTTATTACTAGTCAACTCATTCTAAAGTAAATCATTTGTTTCAGGCTTTAATGAGCACTCAGGTAGTATAATTATGGTCTATAAATTAGTGGGACATTTATAAAAGAGAGTGGTTTCAAATTCTCAAGAAATGCCTGTATTCCCAATCTGTTCAACATTCAAGTTCAACAAATATAATTTTTTGCCCCTTCTTTCTGTGAATGTATGTATTGTGCATAGACCTTTGAATGGCCCAGCTTTATGGCTGGATCTTCAATGAGACTACTTATTTAGAGTAGGTTTTGGGTTTTGTCTCGTGATTCTTCTTTTTAAAAATTCAATTTATCCTTAGGATAAAAGCTAGCTATAGGACTCTGTCTTTCTGAGTTTTCATTTATATTTGCTTCTTAGTCTTAAGAATTCCTTATATTCTTTATCAGCTCATCACTAAATTTAGGTTTTAAAAACACTTAATGAAGAGATTATAATTGTTTTCATAGATGGTCAATATAAAATACCTAGGTTGTCCATTATTGAACTAGAATTAAAAAATTCATATATTTCTAAAAAAGACAGTAAGGCCTGGCACAGAAATTTGTATCATCATCAGCATCATATGCCCATGCACATGAAATAGTATGAAATATTTCTCAGTTGTCATATGCTCCAGTAAGTAGGTGATAATCTGTATAATTTTGTACTTTTATTTTGTTTTTAAATTTAAATAAAATAATCTAAGTACAAAATACCACATTTCTCATCAAAAATGCTCTTCCACACTTACAGTGTAGTCTTTCATTGAGATGGTCAAGGGACTGCAGGATCCTCTGTTCTTCAGCTGATAGTGCACAGATGTTGAACCGCTGGGCCTTATTTAAAGCCAGATTTGATTTCTGTAGTTGCTTGTTATTCAGGACAGTTAAAATTTCATCTTCAGGCACTGAAGCTTTCACCAGATTTTCAGCCATCAAAAACTCAGAAGTACTATCTGAAACTAAAAAAATTTTAATCAATTATTCTGTGATCTCTTTTTGTCTTTGGCATTAGCCTTTATACATACTGAGCAATATCTGTATGTATTCATTTCACAAACAGAAATGCAGTAATACTTTATTACTTTGCATCTATTAGGATTCTCTGAGAAATACGTATTTGGATTCTCTCTAGCATTTCCCCATCCTTAATTAAAAAAAAATCTAAAATGATGGCAGCAAAGTAAGAAAAATTCTTAGAGGCTTACTTGAACTAAAAAAGAAATATTTAGATAGTTTTTGTATTAAGTTTTGCTATTCATGGGTCATACAAAGATAATATGAAGGAGATTGTCATTCTAACAGCAGTTAAAATGAACTCTAAATAAAAGAGTAGGAGAAAAGAAACTTAAGGAAAGGTTAGAAAATCACATGATCAGCTGAACAGAACTAATAGCTAAGAAACAGATCCAACTGGATTAAGAACATACGCTCAAAGGAGCATCAAAGACTTGAGAGAAAGGAGGGATGATTCAATAACTTAGTTCATTGTTTATGAAGGAATTGATCTGGAGGTTCACTCTCTACTTTTCATTTAAACAAATTCCAAATAAAGAATCAAACTATTAAAGCAACCTAGTGGAAAAAAAGATATTTCTAAATTTTTGGATTGGGAAGGTTCGAGTGTGAAAGTAATGGAGAAATCACTAAGAAAAGACTGAAACATGTTTATGTTAGGCCATGCCAGGCCAGTCTTCCCTGACAGACTTTTAAATTCTGAAGGGCAAACTTTTATGTTATATTCATGACTGTGTATTCAATATTTATTTATAAACACAAAATTAATTCTTAGTAATCACTTATTGAATGAACAAAGAAAAATAAACATGTAAAAATATAATTTAAGTGGAATGAAATAAAAATAATTTAGTAGTAAAAACACTTGCAACCAATATAAGAATTTTAATCATTGATATTTCAAGAATTTTCAGAAATCAATAAGAAAATATAAAAACTTAACGTCTAGGGAAAAGAATATGAAGGGACAATTCACCAAAATACAGACAAGAACAATTAAGCATATTATTAATAAAAATATTTAAAAATAATATCACAAAATTTCTTTGCCTATCATATAAGGAAATTGTACAAAGAATTGTACCTCAAGGTGACATAGATGACTGGAAGAATTCTAATACTTTTAGAAAAAAAGTTGAGTAATATGCATGAATATCCATATTAATGCTTATTTCCTTTGATCTTATATTATTTAATATGCAGAGATTCATTCAACAAATATTTATTGAGTACCAGGTCTATGTCCAGTACTGTAATATGATTCTGGAAATCTATCGTACAAAAATATTTGTTAAGTCAGGAAATAGCTCAATGTAGAAAGATGCTCAATATACTGCTATTTAGAATAAAGAAAAACTGGCCACAAACTGCTGTGACAAGGACAGTTCAGGCCCTAAATGGTGGTTTAGCAGTCATACAAATTGTAAGCACCTTAGAAAATACATATAAAAAAATCTCTGAGAAAAAACCCAGACATACCTTCTTCAGTATTAGAAGTACCCCTTGTAGTTTGTTTTGGATCACTTGAACTTAGATGGACACTTTGTCCAAAATTCTATAAAAATAGAATATTAAATCAGAACATAATTTCACATTTAAAATTCATGCAATATACATGAACTTAAAATTGCAGTATATATTTTCAGCTATCTTTATTCAAGTTAATTTTGTTTTTTGTAACAGAAATCAAGGGTTACTGAATTAAGTTCTTTCTAAGGTATCTGAATATTTAAAAATACATTTATGGGGCTGGGGATTTAACTCAGTGGTTCTGCTGCCTGCCTCATAAGTGCAAGGTCCCAAGTTCGATCCTCCGTACCAAAAAAAAAAAAAAAAATTATAACTTAGTTGATTTATTCTGGGAATGAACTCAGGGCCTTCACACTGGGCTACATCCTCAACTATTATTATTATAATTATTATTATTATTTATTTTGAGACAAAGTCTTGCTAAATCATTAAGTTCATTAAGTTTCTTGGGTTGGGCTTGAACTTATGATTTTTCTGTCTACAGATCCACCAAGTCTGGCTAATTGCTTTATGTGTGTAAGGAAGAATTGCAACCACTGGCCCAAACTCTGTAACTACGACTAATGCCAAGCATAGGTGTCTTAGATGATAAAACTTGAAACAGAAATAGCTGTCCCAGTGCTGCACAGAATCTGAAAAAGGGAAATTAAATTTTTTATTAGTATATGTTTACAATACATAAAAATATATTTGTTATGGGGTATCGGTATATATATATATATAAAATCTTGATCCTTTTTGCTTCTTCTTTTCCTCCACTCCTTTCCACCTATCCCCATTCCAGAATCCCTTTCCCAGGTCCATAAAATATCTTTGGAAAAAGGAAATTTTTGAACACTGGCAATAAGTACTCAACACTATCTGAAAGAAAGCAACTCTCCTTTGAATATGTTCTACTTTCCTTTTTACTCCCATTTTCTTTTTCTTTAAGAAATGATATTTTTCTCTCTGATAAAATTGCATGCCTATGACTATGTACTGTACTTGGCTTTTGTTCAATCTGATCTGAACAGTAGCTGACTGATTTTTGCAATGGCTCTCATTGTATAATTCTTGCCTAATGTCCATTATCGACTTAAAAAACTTGGACTGAAATCCTGGTACAAAAGGGCAATTATGCTTTTTCTGCTTTTTATTTATCTGCTTTAGATTCTTTCTATATAACAGTGGGGTGGCAAAATACAGTGTAATAAAGTGTACTACCTAATACAAGGTGATAGATGTTACTGCTGTAGTAACTGAACTTTTGATTAGGCTCTGGAATAAAAAACAAGGCCAAACAAAATAATAAGGATGAAAAATTAAATTTCAAAATGATTTTGATTCAGGAACATGATTTATTCTAACACAAACAAGACTTGAGGAGGTATATAAAAGGGTGTGTAAATGGAAGATGTATATATGAAAGCAAAAGAGAAGCTTTCCAGAAAGGACAAAAATAAACTTGAAAGACAGCAAGACAAAATGCAAAGGAGCATGAGCTGAAAGAATTTAAGACTCAGGAAAAAAATAGAAACAAATTTGTAGAGGTCACTAATAATAGACATTTAAATTTTAGTTCATTTTTGTTATACTATCTACTATTACTTTAAAATTTGAGATGTCTTAACACAATACAGAAAAATAAAGGTAAAGTATATATTTATGGATTTTGACATTTTTGTGGGAATACAAAAATTTAAAATGAAAGGCCTTATTAGGCATTATTGTAATCATGAAGTTATGTTTGTAATTAAGTATGATATTTATAATTAAGTATAATTTGTTATTACTCAAAAACAACATGATGGTAACAAGACTAACTTATTTATATAAATATATGACTAAAGAACTTTTGTTTGGCTGATAAGATTATATCACTGTTGGTTGTTGTCCATTTTAATCTTGTTCACATAAAATTAATATTCCCTATAATATACAAATGATAGGAACCTCAACCAATAGGGCAAACTGTAAATTCTTTATAAGACACCCTATTCCAATTCTATTTAAAAAAATGGAAGAAGTAATATTTAAGGTAGAAACTCCACATACAATGTTATTTACTTAATCATTTAGTATTTTTGACATGCTAAAGTAAATCCTTAATGTCAGACCACTAGAAAATGTCAAATTTAGATCACATTTACATAGCACTCACAGAATTTCCTTCATAAAAAATTATTATGCTTTTGATGTTTACTGAAGATCTGTCTCTAACAGCTGTATTCATTTATTACTGAATTGTTATTTAATTTTATTGAGTTTATTGGTACTTTTTAAGTGTACAGTAAAGTTACATTCATCATTGGGACCTTGTACCTTTACATGACAGATTGTGGTTCTTTTTTTTTCTCCCATACTATTGAATTATTAAAGACATATTCAGTATGCATTTCATAAAAAGTCCTCCGTATCTTTGAAAGTATTGTATCACAAACATCATTGCTAATATCCCTTGAGAACTATGTAAAGTTTTCAATTTTTAACTTTACCAAGTCTTGCTGGAAGCTCAGATCCAAATAGGAAATTCAATTACTTGGAACTATATTGGTCTTCATGATTAGCATAGTTTCTTCCTGTATCCATTGCTTTAGGAATTTCTCCCTTTTCTTCCTTCCTCATTCTCTCTCCTTCCCTGCCTCCCTTTTTCCTTCTCTTATGCAATTTAAATAATTTTGTTGAATTTTCTTGTGAAGGATCTCATTTTTCCCAGAGTTGGTTATAAATGATAATAAATAAAATAACAACTGATTTATTAAAGTTGATTTAAAACTTTCCTTGGTAACTCACCACACAGATGAATTAGAATACAGCAAATAAGTATAGTTGAACAAACTTCTGCCATGAGATTCCAAGAGTGCATCACAAGTGACTCTGGCTATGGCTATATTTATACTGTGGTACAGTTTATAGCAAGAGCACAGACTTTTAGGAAAACTATTTTCCAAGCAATTTTTAAACACTGAACAGAGATTTTTGCTATTACTGTACTTACATTCATTTGCTCACTGTATTTCTGTGTTACAGATCCAGGGTTTTTTCTTTTCTGGTCTGAAAGACTCTGATTATTTTCAACAATTCGTTTTCTTCTAACAGCAGAATCTTAAAGAAATGTCAGCACAATGTCACAAATTACTCAAGCTGAGTAGATAACATATATTTACTGAAAAGAGGACTGACCTCCAAAGCATGGTCCTGGAACACTAGGAAAATAGGTAAGAAAAGCCATTGGTGTGCAAGAAATGTATTAGAGTTTTAATTTATACTATCTAAAAATTAGAAATTAAACTTTACTGATGTAATAATGTATGACAGTAACACTCTGGTTAGATAGTTTATGAGGCAGTCTCTTGTATATTGCATATATTAGATTCAATTATTTTGAAGGCAGGACATTTCCAAATGTAAAAGGTTGGCAGTGGTGTCTTCATTCATTAGGGGTCTCTTTTTTCTTTCGTGGAACTGAGGATTGAATCCAGGATCTCATTCATGCTAGGCAAATGCTCTGCCACTGGGGTATATCACCAGCCTTTTTGTTTTGGAGGTAGGGTCTTGTTATGTAGTTCAGCTGGCCTTGAATTCACTATGCAGCCCAGCCTACTCTCAAAATTAGAGATTCTCCTACCTTAGCACCCCGAGTGCTGCATTACAAGTATGTGCCACTGAGTCCTAGTGAACCTTTTAAAAGTAAAACAAAAATCTTTTTTTGTTTTTTAACCTAAGATCTTGCTAAGTTACCCAGGTTGGCCTAAAACTTGAGATTCTCATGCTTCATTCTAGGGACAGTTGAGATTGCAATTGTGTGCTACTATGCCTAGCTTCATTATGCCTTTTAACTTTCTGCAATGTAGTGAAATTTATGTGTACTGAGGTAGGTGGATTTATTTATATCTTGTACTATCTAAGCAAATCCTCACAAAATGGAAACATGGCTGAATACAGTTTTGTAGGGCTTTCATTTTATGTCATTTTTAAGGTGAGTAGTGGGTTGATGGATGTTTATTATATTTTGTAATTTTTTGGTATGATTTTAATAAAAACATTCTTACATTATCATAGGTCAAAGATGATACTAATAGGTGAAGAGAAAAATGCTAGAGATGACATTTCTTCTCATGCCTGGAAATATGACTGTGATGGTAAAACTATATATGTAACAAAATCAGTGTCAAAAATTTAAAAATTATCCAAAAATCTAATAACAGATCTTACCTTAAATATATATTCTGCAATGAGATATTGGCCAGTGATATATGGAATATAATTCTCACAACTAATGATATTTTATAAATAGTATTCAGAGGATTATTAACAACATTTAAGAATAAAAGTATTTAATATAGTTAATACATGAACTTTTTATATTATTTTAAATATTTATAATATAAAATTTAAAAATTATTTTAAAAGCTTTTACTTTATATCATTCTTTATAATTTCTTGTGCAAATTAGTACAATAATATATGTGTATGGTGCACATGTATATGTATGCTCATATTTTTAAAAAGTGATACAAAAAATAATTTTTTACTCCACTAATTTGGTTTAGAAGAATGGATATAAAGTTAAATAAATTATGATAACAAAATGTTTAAATTATCTATCTATCTATCTATATCTATAGATATAGATATTACACAGGATTAAGAGAAAGCTTGGAGTCTACAGTGGCTGCAAGAATCAAGAAAGGGCTAGGTGTGATTGTGTATGCCTGTAGTTCTACTTACCTGGGAAGCTGAGGGGCAGGAAGATTACAAATTCGAGGTCAAACTAGGCAACTTGGTGAGGCACTATCTCAAAATGAAATAAAAAGGATTGGATATGTAGCTCAATGGTAGCTCACGTGTCTATCATGCACAAGGCCTTGGGTTCAATTACTAGTACCACAAAAACAATAATGAAAGAAGGTAGATTTCACCAATAAAGATGTCTGAGCTTGATTTGAAAGAAGTAGCAAGTTCCCAAGTAAAAAAGCAGTTTGAGTCAGAAAAAACACTGTGTGCAAAGGTGCCAATTTATAATAGTGCATAGTTAAGTTTCTCAAGGTCGAGGGGTAGAAAAATTACTTGGTCTGAGGCATAGAATATCAGGTATTTGTGTAAGCACATAAATATGTTGAGAAGTACAGGAAGTATGTGCATTGCATGTGATTTATAAGAGTTCAGAGAGAAGAAAAGAAACATTTTGAGCCCTAACCTTAAATTATATACTGGAGAACATGGGTCTGAATATTTTATCTAATCAATACTCTAGCTAGTGTGTATATTATATTTAACAATAGTATAAAAAAGCTCCAAAAAGAGCTGTCAGTTTTAAAGAAAGTTTTTTAGGAACTGAACATCCAACCTTTTAGGGGTAAGAAACAATACTTGCTAATATTTACTTAAGCATGTATCATTTTCCAGGTATTCTTACAGGTACAATTACCATTGCTCTTTCATCTCAAATAATTGAATTAAGGCACAGGAGAGGGTAAATAACTTGCCCAAAACTACAGACAGTAAAGGGCAAAATTGAGATTTAGTTCCAATCAGCTGGGCTCTAAAATCTAAGATTCTAAGCCGGACATGATGGCACTTTAGGGAGGCTGATGCAGGAGGATTGCTGTAAGTTTGAGACCAGCCTGGACTACACAGTTAGTTTAAGGCCAGTCTGCAATATGTAGTGGACCCTGTCTCAAGCAACAAAAACTAACAAAAAAGTAAGATTGTAGTTCTTATCCATTATGCTAGTAACTTTTATTCTGATTTTACTGTCTCACAAAAATAAACATATTTGTATAAAATATTTAATAAAATTATACATAATTTTATAAACATATTTACCCTTACAACATATGATGCCACTGTTAATTTATAGTCTAGAACATTCTAACTCTAAAATTAACTTCATTTAAAAATATTCTTTACTGGTCATTAAGTTGACTTCACAACACTAATGAGTGATGACCTATAACTGAAAGCAAATCTGGGCATGGTGGTGCACTTCTGTAATCCCAGCTGAGGCTAGGAGGCTGAGACAGGAGGATCTCAAGGTTGAGCCCAGCTTGGGAAACACAGAAACTTAGGAAGACCTTGTTCTCAAAAAAAAAAAAAAAATAAAGGGCTGGGGAAGCAGCTCTGGGCTCAACCCCTAGTATTACCAAAAAATTCTCCTTGCATTTATTAGAAGTGTTGTTATAGAAGTGCCCTCTGGATATAAGTACCAGATAGAAATACAGGCAGAGAAA